AATCATAAGTAAGTAACCTTTCAGGATTGGCTTTTTTCATTGACCTTTGTTCCCTGAGGGTTCATTCAGGTTGTATATCAGTAGTTTGTTCCTTCTTATTACTGGCTAGTGTTCTGTGATGTCTTTGTACCAAATTTGTTTAACCATTGACTCATTGAAGGACATGTAAGCTGTTCGCAATTTTGGGCTATTGCAAATAAAGCTGCTCTGAACATTCATGTACTAGGGTTTTTTTTTTTTTTGAATCCAAGTTTTATTTCTCTGGAATAAATGACCAAGAGTGCAGTTGTTGAATGTATGATAGTTTCATAAGAAACTGCCAGACTTTTTCCCAGAATGGCTCTGCCATGTTACATTTCCTTTAATGTTGTTTTGTTTTAGTTTGGCAGTTCGGAGATCTAACAGCCTATGGGAGCTTGGGAAAGAGCCAAGTAAAGAAGCAGGGGTTATTGCCTGTGCCCAAGAATTTTAGGTGGTTGTTTGTGCAGCCACCAGGAGTTAGAACAGTGTCTTAATTAGAAGTCAGTGACCAGTTTTCTCCAATTTCTGCTGGTAGCAGTCTCTTCTAAATCCTCTACAGGGGATAATCTTCTTGCTGGTGGTCTTCATCTCTCTCAGGTGCTGAAGGAATGACAATGTATCTCATTTTCCATTTCCTCATCCCCTTTTACTCTTCCTACTGATTCAGTTTCTCTGATGGTTACAAGTCTCTGGTGGTTTTCTGTTTTCAGTCAGTTTTGATTAAGTTTTTCTAGGAAATTGGCTATTTCACTTTTTAAAATTTGGGTTTATAAAACCTTACACTGTATTCTTTGTTACTTTCTAAAGTTTTGCCGTGGTTTCAGTTTTGTTCCACTTTGATTCCTAATTCTGTTTATTTATACTTAAAAAAAAAAAAGATTTTATTTAAAGAGAATGTGCAGGGGAGAGGGGAGGGCCAGACAGAGGGAGGGGGAGAGAGAATCTTAAGCAGAGTCCACACTGAGTGGGGACCCAAGGTGGGGCTCAGTCTCACAACCCTGAGATCATGACCTGAGCTGAAACCAAGAGTCTGACACTTAACTGACTGTGCTACTCAAGTGCCCCCATTTATTTGTGCTTTTATGCCTTTTTTTGTTTGTCTATTTCATTTCTTTGCAAAGAGTCAACTTTTAGCAAGAATAGGATAAGATCTCCTGTACATCTTTTACCCAAATTCATGAAATCCACCCCCCCTTCCATATACCAATTCTTTAACATTTTGGCCTGTTGGTTTTGTTACTCTCTCTCCCTCCCCCAGGACGGACGGACGGACGGACGGACACACACACACACACACACACACACACACACACACACACACAGTTTCTGAACTATTTGAAGTAGGTTGCATATATTCTGCCCTTTACCTCTTAGTACCTCAGTGTATTTTTCCTGAGAACAGGGATATTTTCTTAGTCACAGTTTAATTATCCTATTTAGGAAGTTTAACATAAATATGGTACTTGAATCTACCATTTTCCAGTTTTGTCAACTGTCCTAAAAATGTTCTTAGAACATTTTTGTTCCTTCAGTATGAGATTACATAGTACTTAGATGTAACGACTTTATTCTCCTTTAATCTAGAGCAGATCCTCAGTCTTTTCTTTATGACATACATGTATTTAAAGAATATTGACTCCCTCCCTTCTGTTGTAGCTGAACTGCTGTTTTGTGAGAAACACTGTCATTGTTCCTCCTGTTCCTTTTTAAAAATGTCTAAATTCCACTCAGCTCAGAACATGCCATGAAAGACAAATTTTTATTAATAGATAATTAGTAAAATACTGTATTTGATAATACAGTATTGTTTGATATTTCTTGGTGTTTTTATAAAGGATTTTATATCCTCCAGAAAACTAGATATGAAGCAACTATTTGAGATAATAATTCTTGATTTTGGTTAGAAGTAATCTAATTTGAATTTGGCATTTTTATTTCAAAAATGAAATGATTTTTCCTCGGAGTCAAAGATAGTTCATAAAGTTACTCGTGAAAAAACTTAAGCTTGGTTGCCAGCTGTACTACTTCTTAGATAATACAATTTGTAAACCTGTAATTAGCTCTTTGTAAGGTAGCAGCTATAATAAAGTACATAGTAGTTTGAAAGTACATATTTAATTTTACTCTGCTCTCCCAAATTGTTGGTTGTTATTAATGAAAACAAAAATGCACTTGTACCCATTTTTGACTTGGTCTATTTTAAGTACTTCTGGCAAACAGTCCAGTAATTTTATGATGAGAGTTTTGCTCTATATTTCCCAAAATAACTTGGAATATATCTTCAGAAGTTTTAGTTATTTAGTGACTGTGGCATTTTCCTCTTCCCCCCTTTTATAAAATACCCTAGAATTTCTTTCAGAAGGAAGAAAAACATTGGAGACTGAAATTTTTCACTGCCTTTAGAATCCATTAACTTTAGCTTCTCAGAATCTATCCATAAGCTCTTTGAGCTCCTGAGTGCTTTTTATTTATCATTCAAATTTCTCCTCCTTCTTTATTAAAAAAAAAAGTCTTCTCACAAATACTGATCTAGTTTTTCATAGCAGTTATTGTATTATGGATTAGTGCTGTCACCTCATGACCAACATCACCATTACTACTACTGTTTATTGAAGGTTTACTATGTGTCAGTTTCAAAACAGTGTTAAAATTCTACTGCTTCTTAAAATGCTCACGCACTTACCTTTATTGAGATCTTTATTTCTCCATACAGCTTCAAGTTACTGTCTAGTATCATTTCATTTCACTTTGTAGGATTTCTTTGAGCTTTTTTTTTTGCAGGATAGATCTAGTGGGAACATTCTCTCAGCTTTTGTTTATCTGAGAATGTCTTAATTTCTATCCTACTTTCAAGGGGCAGTTTTGCCCAGAATAAAGGATTGACTTTTTTTTTTTCTTTTAGTACTTTGAATATATCTGCCCACTGTCTTCTGGCCCCCAAAGTTTCTAAAGATAAATCTGCTAATACTTTTTTTTAGGATCCCTTGAATGTGGTGGTTCACGTGTATCTTGCTGCTTTCAAGATTCTCTCTCTGTTTGATGTGTGGCTGTCTTTTGAATTCATCTTATTTGGAGTTCGTTGAGCTTCTTTGATGTTTATATTGATGTCTTTCATCAAATTTATGAAGTTTAAATTATTGTTTCTTCACATATTCTCTTTGCCCCTTTTCCTTTTCTCTTTCTAAAGCTCCCACAATGTATGTTGGTTCTTTTTTTTTTTTTTTCTTTTAAAGATTGATTTATTTATTTTGTGAGGTGGGGGGTGGAGCAATGCAGAGGGGCAAAGGGAGAAGGAGAGAGAATCCCAAGCCGACTTCATCCTGAGAGCAGAGCCCTACGCAGGCTCAAGCTCATGACCCTAAGATCACAGAGCCAAAATCAAGGCTCTAACGCTTAACCAACTAAAACACCCCCACGTTAGTCCTCTTGATGCTGTCCCACAGGTCCTTTAAGCTGTTTGCTTTTCTTTAATCTTTTTTCTTTCTATTCTTCAGACTCAATAATGTCCATTGTCTATTTTTAAGTTCATAGATCTTTTTCTGCCTGTTCAAATCTGCTTTTGAATCTCTGTAGTGAATTTTTTGTTTTATTTGTTGTACTTTACAGCTCCAGAATTTCATTTCTTTTTAGATTTTCTCTTTATTAATACTTTCATTTTGTTTGTAGGTCATTTTCTTGACTTTTTCCTTAAAACAGTTTTGTGGGTCTTTTTTAAAGCATTTGTCTAATATATGTGCTCTGCCTTTTTTAGGGACAGTTTCTGTTGGTTTTCTTTTTATTTACAGTGGGAAAATGAAAAAAATGAATTTACCGTTTGTGTGCCTTGAGCTTTTTTGTTGAACATTGAGTCTAATTATGTGGTAACTCTGGAAATCACATTGTCCCCCTTCCATAAGATTTGCGCTTTTTTTCCCCTTTTAAATTGTTGTAGGTTGTCTCTGCTGAGGATCTGCCTGAAGTGTAAATTTAGGTCTTCTCATGTCTTTTCTGAGTATTTCCTTGGATATGAATAGTCACTTTCTGATTTTCCCCATGAATGTAATTGTTTTTGAATGTCCTCCTCTTTAGTGTTTGGCACCCAAAATGGGAAAAAGTTAAAAAAAAAAAAAGATAGCTAAAAAAGGATGCTGATCCTTTAAATAACCTGGACATCTCTTCCATTTGTCGAGGAGGGACTTGCAACAATAAGGGAAGGTATAACAACTATGGCTGTCCTCTCCTTCATCTGCATCTCTCAGCTATCAGTAATCAGAGCACACGGATTGCTGATACTTGGAGGACACGGTCCTTTTTACCCACCCTGGCTTCTGTGATTTGTGTGAGCTGCTCTAAGGAACATGTTGTATATACCTCCCTGCCATGGGGTTTGGGTAGCTGCTACTGTACTAATGCTGAAATTGACCAATTAACCCCAATTTACTGTCTGTGTCTTCCCTTGGGAATTGCAAACCTAACAGACTTCAGAGTTCCAACATAGTTCTGTCAGACAGATTCTGCCAGTGTAATTGTTGTTTAGGTGGGGAGAAAGTTTCCTTCTTACTTTGTCATCTTCCCAAAATCCTCTTTAATCTCATTTAAAAATTTCTGTATTGAGGGGCGCCTGGGTGGCTCAGTGGGTTAAAGCCTCTGCCTTCAGCTCGGGTCATGATCCCAGGGTCCTGGGATCAAGCCCTGCATCGGGCTCTCCGCTCAGCAGGGAGCCTAATTACCCCCTCTCTCTGCCTGCCTCTCTGCCTACTTGTGATCTCTCTCTCTCTGTCAAATAAATAAATAAAATCTTAAAAAAAAATTTCCGTATTGAGTGACTTTATGAAATAGATTAAATAGCAAGACCTCTACATTATTAGGGCAGTAATAGAGGGGAGGAAATGCATTTACTGAAATATAATAGCTCTTATTCTCACCTCAATTTGTATTTAAGAGCTACATTAGATTATTTGATATATGTATAGTAATCTTTGGCATTTAACTTTTGGCAGGTGGTTTTGGAATGTATGCTTAAAAAAGACCTCATTTACAATAAGGTCACTCCAACATTTCACCACTGGAAGATTGATGACAAGAAATTTGGCCTTACCTTTCAAAGTCCTGCTGATGCTAGGGCTTTTGATAGAGGCATTCGAAGAGCTATAGAAGATATATCTCAAGGTAGGTTTTCTTGACTATTTTCTTAATTTGTTTATCGTATATGTAGTAGAGTAGAGTGACTTTAAGGAGGTCATCTTTTGTGATATATGTGATTAGTTTTGAAAGCTCACTGTAGGCAAAGATAAAATAATAGGTTTTTAAATCTGTTTTATATTTGTCACACATGCCACTTACATGTGTTTTCTTGAACCCATTAATAGCAGCCATCAGATAATGCAAATGTTTTTAAGTAGGAGTGTGAAGAGGGAATAGGCAGAACTTTCAAAATCCTTGTGTGTTATTATTATCAATCATATCCTTGTTTTGGTCATAAAAAAGAACATTCCTAATAATCAAATATAGTTGACCCTTGAACAACATGGGCTTGAACTGTGCCAGTCTACTAGATGTGGATTATTTTACAATACAGTACCATGAATATATTTTTCTCTTCCTTATAATTTGCTTGCTAATGTTTTCTTTTCTCTATTTTATTCTAAGAATACAGTACATATAACATACAAAGTATATGTTGAAACTATTTATATTATTGGTAATGCTTCAGTCAGCAATGGTAGTTAAGTGTTTGGGGAATGAAAAGTGGTATGTGGATTTTTAACAGCATTGGGGTGGGGCAGGGGTTGATGTCCCTGACCCCTGTGTTGTTCATGGTTCAACTGTATTTGGTTATTATTTCATATGTAGGCTCTATTTTTCCTATGCCAAACCTTTTCTTGAAACTCTTCACCTGATTTCATTATTGAGGGTTGGTAGAGACCAGAGTCCCATGCATCTCTTTGTATATGTTGCCAGTCTGTTGAGATTGTTAACTCTAAAGCCTGCAGGTTTTAAAGGGAAAAAGAATATATTTAGATGTAAGACTGGCCTCTGCTTAATTAAGGAAAAAGAAATCACTTTAAAGCCCATTTCATCCCCAAAATGAAGTTATAATTAAGACTTGATTTGTTTTTCTAATAAAGAAGGAAAATTGTCTCTATAAATAGAAATCAACTTCTATATAAAGTAACTGAATCAAAATATATTAGCAGCATTGTGATTTGTTGTATTTTGAAAATAACATCTTACTAGGAAAATTAGAAAAAATGAATGAGACTGACCATAGGCAAGAACCTGGAAATGCTTCGACAGATCTGTACTGATAGTCCATGAAACTGTGCTTAAGTAATTTATTTAGCTATTTTAAAAGATGAGAGATTGATAAACAGTGATTTCCAGTTCAGAAAAATTTTTGTGGAATGATAACATTCATTTTATCTTTATTACAAGAACCTGTAAGTTCTTTCTAGATCATTGTTCTCAATGTTGGCTGCACATTTTAGTCACCTGGGATACTTTGCAAAATAGAATAACTGGTCCGTACTCTGACTATTTGAATCTGTCTGCCTAGGGACAGGAGCTGAGGCATCCATTTTTTGTTTGTTTGTTTGTTTTTGAAGTTCCTCCTATTTCAAATGTGATGAAGAATTGTGAAATGATTCTATTATGAATTTAGAGGGGAAAAAAAGTCCCTGAGGTCCTGTGGTAGTGGCTGTGGCTCTCAAACCACTTCAAGAAATAAAAAAGACATGAAGCCCTATGCCTCATCCCATAGATTCTGGCAATACTGGTTTGAGAATATACTGTGGTACCAGCATCTTTTCTGAAATTTCCCCAGTTGATTCTGATATTTAGCTATTGCTCAAGTACTGCTACTTTAAAAAGATAATCATTATCTATGGCTGCTAGAATTTTTAATTTATTTTTACTTTTTCCTTTTTTTATTAAGCTTTTTATCTTCATTCCAGTATATGTATATATAGCACATATAGTGTTACATTAGTTTCAGGTGTATGATACAATGATTCAGCAATAATATACATTACTCAGTGTTCATCATAAGTGTATTCTTATTCCCCCTCACATATTTCACCCACCCCCAAGCACCTCCCCTGTCATAACCATCAGTTTATTCTTTATAGTTAAGAGTCTCATTCTTGATTTCTGTCTCTCTTTTTCATTTGCTCTTTTGTTTTGTTTCTTAAATTCCTCGTGTGAATGAAATCATATGGTATCTGTCATTCTCTGACTTTGCTTAGCATTATACTCCCTGATTCTGTCCATGGTGTTGCAAATGGCAAGGTTTCATTCTTTATGGCTGGATAGTATTCCACTGTATATATATACCACCTCTTCTTTATCCATTCATCTATCAGTGGACACTTGGGCTGCTTCCATATTTGACTATTGTAAATAATGCTGCAATAAACATAGAGGTGTATGTATCCCTTTGAATTAGTGTTCTTGTATTTTTTTGTGTAAATAGTAATGTGATTACTTTCTGAGGAACTTCCATACTGTTTTCCACAGTGGCTGTGCACCAATTGCATTCCCTAAAGTGTTATTACTTTGAAGCCACACTCATGGCTCCATAAAAGGATATTTCTTTAACTGGGATCAAATAGATTAGGATTAAATTTCATGTTTTAAAGGACAGCTTATATATGTAGAGAAGCCTACAAACTCCTTGCCAGGTAGAATAGTTACAGTACTAATCTATCTTGTTATTTTTGAACATTTTTTAAAACATACTGGTTAGTGTTATTACCAGCCACTGTATAAACTTCCACCAGTCCCATTATATTTCTTTTACTTAGTCTTCCATGACAATAAGAATAAAATATGCAACCCTTTCGGAAGGACAAATTTCTGCTCATCTCCATGTCAGCTATATCTCTCAAGGGTAGCATAAACTAAGAATACTTTGCTAAGACATCCTTCCTTATTAATTTATTAAAACTAAAGAGCCTCTTGAACACTAGGAAAATATACAGAGAGACATTGATACACAAAGATCAATAGCAACAACTGGCTATTGGCTGTAAACAGTGGTTTAAGGCTTATTTGTTTTCTTTCTTGCAAAAGCAACTAAAATCTTTGTTTGGGGTATTAAATACTGTTTTCTGGGTAAGAATATTTAGAAAATTGAATAAATCACATGTGGGTAACACCAGAGAAATTTTAACGCATATACCCTGCCTAGCAGTTTGAGCATTTTAGAAAGAGCAGGGGTAGGGCTTACTAGAGATAGTACACTTTCACAGAGAACATCTCGTTAGAAAATTACTGGAAATATACCCATAAAAGAGGAAAACATTCACTTTATTCTCCTAACAAAGAGGCAGGTATGAGTGGCCAACATCTGACTTGTTGCCAGGCAGCCCAGAATGATCTCTGATCAGTTCTATAGTATTGTAATGATTTAATCAGTTAGTCAATTATTAAAACCTAAGACAAAAATTCTTTGCGTAATTAACATCTACCTGTTTTCTTAGGATGCCCAACATTTAAAAATGAAGCTGAAGGAACAGAAGATGACTTACAAGTAAGTAGTTTGCCTTGAAAGGAATTTCTGAATGTAAGGATAGGGAGGAAATCACTAACCTTAAGAAACAAACAACTTATATAAATGTCTAAGAAAATTTCTTGACACTGTATTTGTTTTTTTTTATTTAATTTAATTTAATTGTGTGTGTGTGTTCCAGAATTCATTGTTTATGCACCTCACCCAGTGCTCCATGCAGTATGTGCCCTCCTTAATACCCACCACCAGACTCACCCAACCCCCGCCCCCTCAACACAGTATTTGTTAACAAACACAGAGAAACAGAAGCAGTAGGATGTGTGGGCATGATATAGGTATGCATGTGTTATAGAGAGTTTGTTTTTGTTTGGTTTCCTTGGATTAGTTTGTTGTTGGTGGTGGTTCGTTTTTTTGGTTTGTTTTTTTAAAGGAATGGGCTTAGTCATTGTGGGGACTGACAAGTCAGAAATGCACAGGGTAGGTAGGCAGGCATGTATGGCAGTTTTGACACACTTTGATGTCTCAGTTTTGAGTTGGAATGCAGTCTCATGGCAGACTTCCTCTTTGGGGGACCTAAGTCTTTTTTTTTTTTTTAAGTCTTTTCATAATGAGACCTGTCTGCTTTATGGAGGGTAATCTCCTTTACTTAAAATATACTGATTTAAATGTTAGTCACATCTGAAAGTGCCTCCACAATGTTTGGACTGGTGTTTGACTGAACAGCTTGGCACTATAGCCTAGCCAAGTTGACAGATAAAATTAACCATCAAATATAGGCAAGGTACTTGTATAAAGAATTCACAAAAAAGGAATTGCATATTGTTAGTAAGTGTATATGAACAGTGGTAAGCAGCAGGTAGTATAAATTAACATTTTTTAGTTATCAAAGGAAGAAAGGTTTAAAAATTGACAACACCCCCCCGCCCCAGGGTATCTGGGTGACTCAGATGGTTAAGTGTCCAACTCTTGATTTCAGCTCAGGTCATGATCTCAGGGTCCTGGGATCCAGTCCCGCATCGGGCTCTCAGCTCAGCGGGGAGCCTGCTTCCCTCTCTCTCTCTCTCTGCCTGCCTCTCTGCCTACTTGTGATCTATCTCTGTCAAATAAACAAATAAAATCTTTTAAAAAAATAAATAAAAGGTGCATTTCTTAAAAAAAAAAGTCAGTGGATTTTGTAAAAAACTGTTGTTTCCATCATTGTATTTGCTACTAGTACTGTTTATATCAAGGCTTTGGTATAGAGTTAAAAATGGGGATGATATTAACGAAGAATAATAAATTTATTTCAGGAGCAGACAAAAGAATGAAAAGTTAGAATTAGGAGGAGGCTAGTGAAGAGAATTACTGTAGTATAAAGAGCAGCAAGAGTAGTTATTCTGTTAGCTCCTTAGGATGGCAACTTCATAGTAAGGTATCTCCAGTGCCCTCAATCCAAAATGTTGCACACACACACACTCAAACCCTTAAAGAGTTATTTATATTTTAGCTTCATTAGACACTAAAGCACTTGCTTGGTTTTTTTATTTTCATAATAAAATAAAAAATATGCAATGTCACTAGAGATTATAGTAGTAGGCTTCCATTTAAATGCAATTTTACTAAGCGATTTTCATATCAAGTTTTAACTTTTGGCTTTATATTCTTTGGTGTTTTTAAAATAGATTATTAAATTATATTCCTTTTGATAGAACCTAATTCTCCTCTCCCTGAGTATACATTATACTTAGTTCTTTCTTACCAAAGAGACTTATGGTAGAAGTGACAAAATGTGAATTCCAAGGGTTGATCATAAAAGACATTGCAGCTTCTTTCTGATGCTCTTGGATTGCTTGTACTAAAAATGACAACTCTCATAGGATTAGGATACTCAAACAACCCAGTGGAGATGTCCATGTGGTAAGGAACTGAAGTCTTGTGACAATATACAGTGTTAGTGAGCCATCTGGTAAGCCAGTCATTTACTCCCAAACAAGCCTTTAGATGACTGTAGCCATAGTTGATGTTTTGACTGTAACTTACTGGAGACTGTGAGCCAGAACCCTTTCAGTTAACAGTCAAAATTCTTAATTTCTGACCTACAGAAATCGTTGAAGCTGTTAAGTTTGGGGGTAATTTGTAACTAATACAGATTTAGGTACCCATAAATGGGGTGCTACTGTAACACATACTTTAAAAGCCAGTAAAGGCTTACATGAAAATGAAGAAAACCATATTGGAAGCTGGGAGAAAGGGAGTTGCTACGTAGTGGCACAGAAGGGTTAGCAACAATGTCACTTGCAGTAATATGGGCCTTAGAAAATGTATCCAAGGGGACGCATGGGCGGTTCAGTGGGTTAAAGCCTCTGCCTTTGACTCAGGTCATGATCCCGGGTCCAAGCCCCGCATTGAGCTCTCTGCTCAGCAGGGAGCCTGCTTCCTCCTCTCTCTCTGCCTGCTTCTCTGCCTACTTGTGATCTCCATCTGTCAAATAAATAAATAAAAATCTTTAAAAAAAGAAAAAGAGAAAGAAAATGTATCTAAGGAGCTAGGTGACCTAGCTAAGAAGATTTTTCAAGCAGAAGGTAAAAAGTGTTGCTTGGTTTCTTCTTTCTGCTTATAGGAAATGGGGTAAGGAAGGGCTCCTAAACAAAATGGAGCCAGGACCTGCTGGTTTGAAAATTCTCATCCTCTTAGTATATCAGACTATGCCAAAATTAGGAAATGGCTTCTAGGCAAAGATCAGATCCAGGGCACTCTCAGAATAGCTTTGTCTAAAGATGAAGCCAAGTGTGTGATTTATAAAATCCATTCTTAAGACCTCAGAAAGATCTAAGGTATGCCTCCAAGAACCTTTCAATCAAACTGATGGGGCTTATTATCAGATTAGGGTGTCCCTTAGCAAAAATTTAAAGTAGAGAAGCGTTTTATTTTGGATTTGTGACTCTGCTTTATGTCTAATGGTGTGAACCCCGATAAGAATCACAAGAGACCCACAGTGTTTTCAAAAGAGTTATTTTGGCAGAAGTATCACCACCTTGGACCAAAGAGTGGCCATTTAGGTTCCCAAAATTCTGGTAGGAGTCAGGTTAAAACATTCTATACGCATGAATGTAAACGTGGGCTACCTTTCAAAAAATGGAAGGGTGACTCAGAAATCAGAGACCAAATCTCCAAGGCCAGAGCCAAGAGCCATGGAGAATTCTTCCTAGGTCCTAAGTTCTCTTCATGCAACTTGTAAGATGGGTCCACCTTCATTTCAGAATTACTTTGGATCTGACTCCATTGTGCCTCCCTATTTTCTTCTGTACACGATGGTGTTAAAACAATTTTCCTCCCTATCCTGCCCTTGTATTTTGGGTATGTGTAGGGCAGATAATTTGTCACTTTAGTTCCCAGGTCTTCACGTTGGGAGAAATTATATTCAGATGACTGTACTTAAGGAACTATACCTGAGAAGTTTCATCTGTACATGGATCTATTTCGATCACATCATCCTGGATGTGAAGTTGTTGCTCTAAAGAGATGAGACTTCTGGGGAGCCTTGGGAGGGGGATGAGTGTGTGTATTTTGTATGTGAGAAAACTGTAAATTATTTGTCCAAAAAGTGGTGAACAGTAGTGGTTTTAAAATATGTCCACAAATTCTTTCATACTCCTGTCTTCATTCTAGTCTAATTCCCCTCTCTTGGAGTGTCACTGTGCTTATGACTCACTTCTAACAAATAGAATGTGGAGGAAGTGAGAGTAGGTCCTAAGAAAATTTGTGGCTTCCATCTTGCTCTTTTTCTTGGATTACTCATTTTGGGAGAAGCTTGCTGCTGTGTGCAAGGATACTTGAGAGGTTCTGTGAGGAGATCCATGTGGTGAGGAACTAAGACCCTTTTTCAGCAGCCAGCAAGGAAATGGGTTGATCTTAGACAAAAGTCTTCTGCCTGAAACAAGCCTTCAGATAACTGCAGCCATGGCTAGTATCTTTACTGTGATGTCCTAAAGGACTGTAAGCCACAGCCATTCAGCTAAGGTGCTTCAAAATTTCTCACTCACAGAAACTGGGGGATAATAAATGTATGTTCTTTGAAGCTGCTGTTTTCTGGTAATTTATTGTGCAGGGATAGCTAACCAGTACACGAGCAGGAGGGAATATGATGAGAATGAAAGTTAACACCTGTAGTCATGTTCCTTTAATCCCTAATCTTCATCAGTTCTCAGTTTTTCAGATGATGTCTAGCTTAGGGTAAATTCTGTCTTTCAGTAGAAGAGTGTATTATATCTTGGTTTTATAGCCCTTTTGTAACAGAGAATATGTTCAGGTAGGAAAAAAATCGTCTTTATTGTTTAAAAAAGTCTAACCTGATTATATATACATTAACCTTAATTATATAAAGAAAGGAGTGGGGGATACTGAGATGCTAGCAAATATGTGAGATAAATTTTTCTGAACTTCCTGTTTGAAAAATTTTTAAAGAATCGATATCCAGAATTAGAACTATAGAAGAAAACTCATAAATATACCTTAGTGCCATTGATTTCATGATAGGCCAAAGTTTTTACTGTCATTCTTACTTCAGAATATATTAGAGATTATAAAATATTTTAATTTAATCACTGTATCAGAAATAAACTACATCATTGTTTTGTAATTCACCTTTGAGCTTGGCATAACTAAACATTTTGAAATTATTTCAAATACAACTTGGTTGTGATTCGTAGTAGTAGTTATGTCAGGTTTACTTCATTGGTGATTATTTGCAAAGGCAACGAAAATGGTTTTTTTTTTTTTTTTTAAAGATTTTATTTATTTATTTGACACAGAGAAAGAGATCACAAGTAGGCAGAGAGGCAGGCAGAGAGAGAGGAGGAAGCAGGCTCCCTGCTGAGCAGAGAGCCTGATGCGGGGCTTGATCCCAGGACCCTGAGACCATCACCTGAGCCGAAGGCAGAGGCTTAACCCCCTGAGCCACCCAGGCGCCCCCGAAAATGGGTTTTAAAGAATAACCCATTATCTTTTTTTTTTTTTTAAACCAGAAGAGGTAATGATTGTGT